GTGTGTGTGTGTGTATGTGTGGTGTGTGTGTGTGTGTGTGTGTGTGTTTACTGGAACATACTACCATGTCTCCCTTGCCTGCAGAAAGATCATGGGAATCCCTGTTCTGTTTTGAAAGTTCTTGAGTGGGGATAAAGAAGTATATATTCCTAACTGATCTTATAGTTGATCCGTGTTCACAAGACCTCTAGTAATTACCTGATATCCACAGGGCAAACACCTGTACTCTTGCCCATACAAGCACAGAGGCTGAGGCAAAAGGATCACAGAAGACCAGGAGTTCCTCTTTGGCCCCCAAATAAAACATTTAAAATAACATTGTGCTTTCATTAAAATGTCATATTCAGTGGCTTTTTCGAGACAGGGTTTCTCTGTGTAGCTTTGCGCCTTTCCTGGATCTCGCTCTGTAGACCAGGCTGGCCTCGAACTCACAAAGATCCACCTGGCTCTGCCTCCCGAGTGCTAGGATTAAAGGCGTGCACCACCACCGCCCGGCAGCTTTCAGAGCTTTTTTATGATGATAACTACATCTATATCACACTCAGTAATAAGCTGTAGAAATGGCCCCTGAAAATATAGTATTTCACTCAGTGTGTGTATAATAGACATAAAAACTCAAAAAATTCATGGAACATACCTGTCCTGCTTGTGATACATCCTGCCATTTTCTCTTTTGTTCTTTAAAAACTGTTTATCTATTTAAAAAACTTACTGGGATCACCAAAAAGTACTTCCTTACCCCAAGCACCTCTGATAGGAATATATATGACAAGCTTATGGGTCTTGTGAAACTGTGTGAAAGGTACCAACAAAACCGGGAGGGCTTCTGTGCGTGAGAAGGTGTATCTTTTTCCTAAAAAAGAAGCAAAAGAAGAAGTGAGAATATTTGAATATTGACACCTCAAGTGGCCATAGTAATTTTTAAAAGATTTTTATTTTTATTTAGTGTTTGTGTGTGTGTGTGTGTGTGTGTGTGTGTGTGTGTGTGTGTGTGTGTGTATGTTTTAAATGGATGCTAGGATCTGAACTCAGATCCTCATAACTGAGCAGCAAGCACTCTTAACCACTAAGACACCTCTCCAGCCCCACAGTAAGTGTTTTAAAGAAGTAGCATTTTAAGTTTAGGCAACTGGAGGCTCACACACAGTTGTAAGAAGTACCGCAGCCATTTTAGGTCTTCATGAAGACAAATGTGCCTGAAGAACACCGTTATAACTTTTAAAGATAAGAATGTTTCAGAGTCCATTTACTGACTGTACTTTCATGTTGAACTTTTGAGGCCGCTGAATACCTGCACAGTAACCAGTTAGTAATGACGCTGCTTCCTTGAGGGCTAGAAATAGATTATCTGTGAGCACCATTTCTATACTCTTGGACTGTGGTCAAATGTGCTGGCTTTCTGGTTGATAAGCAGTCATTATCAGTCATAACCATTCTTACAGCCTGCATGCACAAAGTCCACGTGTAAATTCTGTAGACTGTTTAAGGATCCTATGACATATGGCACACTCCCCATAGGAGCTGTGAAGTGTGTATCACTATTTTGCATTTTTTTAGAACAGGAAATTCTCCCTTATCAAAGAAATCACTCAAAAAGTTTAAGCCCAAGATGAATTTTTAAACCTCTATGGATGATAACAAGACTAAGAGTTTTCTTTCCACAGGTCTGATGCACACGTGTGCGTGCATATACATTAACACATACAGGAATTTGGCATAGTACTTTACAGTTTGCAGAAGCTTTTCTAGAAGTCTTCAAACAATCTAAACTACCAATAGAATTTACATAGGCAGGATCTGTGTGATACAGGCTGATATTTAACCTAATTTCAACACATTACTAGCTAGTGATTATTCTTAAGTCCTTTTCCCTTGTATATACATATTAGAGAACAGATTTTCTTCTCTTCCCCCTCCTCTCTAATACCTCCTTCCTCTTTTCCTCCCTCCCTTCCTCTCTTCCTCCCTCCCTTCCTCCCCCTTCCCTCCCTCCCCCCTCCCTCCCTCCCTCCCTCCCTTCCTTTCTTTCATTATTTCTTGAGATAGGGTCTCATTGTGTAGCCCTAGCTAGCCTGGAACTCACAGAGAGCTGCTTGCCTCTCCCTCCTGAGTGCTGGGACTAAAAATGTGTGCCACCATGGCTCACTAAAGTGTTATCTACATGTAGTTATATTTGTAATGTGATAGATATATCCTGAATTAGCAGCAGCTATGCTAAGCCATGGACTATAACCTTCAATTAAGTCTGTTAAGACCAAGAGATTATAAATGCAGTTTTACATTTACTAGCAGTATGGATTGGGGCCAGCTGTTTAGCTTTCTAAGATTTAACTTCCTCACCTATAAAATGAGAATGATAGTCACCTGACCAGGATACTATAACATTGAGTTTATTTCTTCTCATTAAGTTTAATTTCGCCGGGCGGTGGTGGCACACGCCTTTAATCCCAGCACTCGGGAGGCAGAGCCAGGCGGAACTTTGTGAGTTCAAGGCCAGCCTGGGCAATCAAGTGAGTTCCAGGAAAGGCACAAAGCTACACAGAGAAACCCTGTCTCAAAAAAAAAAAAAAAAAAGTTTAATTTCATGATTCACTGAATGAACTATGACCACTGAAAACACAGCCTATCGCCGAAATTCTGATATTGAGAACCCTGGGCCAGCCATAGTGGCTCACACCTATAATTTCAAACTCTGGGAGACAAAGCAGAGGAGTCTGAGTCTGAAGCCAGCCTGGGCTCACAGTACAGCCAGCTTAGGCTATACGGGAAGACCATGTCTTAAGAAACTTTTTTTTTTTTTTAAAAAATTAAGACGCATAGGCGGATTGAGGGTGTAGCTCAGTGGACAAAGCCCTTGTTGCAAGTGGAAGCACATTGAATCTGGGCAGGGATCCTCAGGGCCAGCTGGTTGGTTGAACTTGCTGGAATTGGCAAGCCTTAGGTTCAGGGAGAGCTTGCCTCACTGCAATACAGTGAAGTGCAATCCAGGAAGACTCCCAATGTCAACACCAAACCTCTACAAGCACACACACACACACACACACATACACACACACACACACACACACATGCCCATATGTATGTGAGCATACATATACACACAGACATGCACGAAAGGAATCATAGACACGTGACTTGTGATAAGCATGGGTTTGTTACAGTGACGATACCTCCCAATGGCCCAGTCAGTGCTCACTGAGGAAGATCATGATGTGCTTCTCACAGCTTCCTCACTGTGAGTAATGCTTTCTCTTTTCTTGGCTTCTCACCATCACTTCCAGAACCCACATGTCCACCCAGAGATGTAGGTCATAGGCCACGGGACATAAGATATGGAATAATACTGTGAAGGAAACACATTTTAATTTTAATCCTCGTGTGTGTGTGTGTGTGTGTGTGTGTGTGTGTGTGTGTGTGTGTGTAAGGGCTCTTGTTTCTGTCCTGTAAAGAAACTTCCTTTAAAATAAACACACTGAAAAATAATGAGAGGAAACTTCACAAAATCAGAAGAGGATGTCAGGAAGCATGGGACCTGAGGTTGTTTTCATTTCCTCCAGTGTTTTCCTAATTAGTCATATGTATTTATAACTTCAGTGATTTCTGATTAATCATATGTATTTATAACTCACTATAAGGGGCATACAATTTCACTGTTCCTTTTTCCTTAAAATCCAGTTTGTGAAATGAAAAAAACTGTTGTCAAGGAACGGAATCAATTTAATGCTCTCCATTTTTCCCCCAGCAGCACTGAAGAAGTCTGATACCACGCTCCTGTGATCTGAAAGGGATGCTCACCATGCTTCCTTCCCTTCCTTCCTCCATAGACTCTGTGGTGCTCTCAGCCATCCCACGCTCATTTAAAAGGGCACAAAACGAAGGCACCTGACAGAAGCAGCAGGAACAGCTGTTTTTCCCTTAAATTCTGGTGGTTGCTGCTTTCCTGGAAGAAGGATTTGAAACACAGAAACAAATCAATCAAGGCTCAAGACAGAAATGCACTCCCTCTCTTTAAGGATTGAGACTGTAACAATTGCCAGTACTGCCCAATGTCTTAATGCATCCGTGTGAAAGGAGGACCTTCAGAGAATTCCTATGTGCACAGGCACACACACACACACACACACACACACACACACACACACACACACACACACACACACGTACGGCCTGAAGCTTTTCCTGCCTCCATGAGATGGGGATCTGAAGCCTCCCAGCAGCTGCTGAACAGCAGTTTCCCTCCTAGGTTGAAGCAGTTCATCTGCAAACGAACTTCTAGAATTCCCATTTGGCTAAAAGCCAGAATAAATGTGAAAATTGTTCTTCAGTCCCCTGCTTCGTGGACCAGATAGATGTGCCAGGTTGAGGGGCAGCTCCTTTATTACCACCTTTGACTGAACTTACATCTTTGCCTCAAAGAATAAAGTGCAGTCCATCTTTCCTAAGTTTATGATCGGAATCAAACAGCTAAAAGATCACAATTTAGCTCCATCTACGAGCCTCCGTTCAAGAGCCAGGAAGTGGCTTCCTATTAAAAGCAGCCCCCCTTTGCTTCTCAGTGAAAGCCTTAGGAAGGCATTTATGGCAGACACATGTTGTTTTCATCTGCCCAGCACCCCTTCCTTTGGAAAAACCACTACTTCCTTTTCTGCCAGTCACCACTAGTCCAGCCACACTGGTAGCATGCACACAGGTCTGGCCAAGCCTAAAATTCTTCTTGACATTACAGGACTGGTGGGGAGAGGGACTTTTGCTGGGGACACTAAAGTGGGGTACATCTCAGAGGAAACAGCTGCCATTGTCACACACAGGGCATCCGAGGGCAGGAGACTCAGCTATGGAAAGCCAAGGAGGACAAAGGAGGGGGAGGCGGAAGTGGGGAGCGGGAAGAGGGGGAGGAAGACAGGAAGGAGGAGTGGGGGGATAACACCATCGAGGAAGAGAAGCAGGAGCCGCAGCGAGAGGAAGAGCAATTTCATCTAACCTCAACGGAGCCATGATTGAAGACAGCTGACTTCTGGGCTTCCAAGAGTCCTGTGTCAAGGGCCCAAATTCCAACAATTCAGCCTAATGACCTCAGTTGCGGTCACTATTTCCAGTTTCAGAACTGGGCGACACTTCATTCCGTCAGATAGAGTGAGTGTTCCCAGGGGCTGAGCAGAAGAGGTCGGCGGTTTTGTAGACAAAGCAAAGTTAAAGGAAGCAGAAACAAAGGGACAGAAGGAGAACTAATTTCAGTATTTTGAGGGAGACAATAGGCAAGGGCGGCTGAGCTGACATGCTGCTACTTCGGGGAGAAGGAAGGCAGAGAGACCTCGTCACCCTATTGACCGACATCGGCATATCTGGGAAATTTGGCTGGTTCCTCAGTTCTATCATTATGTCCCAGAAGGCCGGACAGGTAGCTGGCTTCATTTCAGCTGGATAATGAGAATGTTTAGTGTTAGCCACTCCGTTTTTTTTGTTTGTTTGTTTGTTTGTTTGGTTTTTTTTTGTTTTTGTTTTTTGTTTTTGTTTTTTTGGACAGGGTTGATCAGTGCTGGTTGGAGGAGCTGGGCATGAAACAAAAGCCTCTTGTCACTATGGAACACTGGAGCCACACAGTTTTGTTGTTTGTTTGTTTGTTTGTTTGTTTGTTTGAGATACCGAAGCCAGAGAAGCCTAACAGGCAAAGTAGTTGCTCATTTAACAGCAGTATTCCTTCATCTAACAAATATTTACTGCACACACTCATGGTTTGAAACTGTGACGTCTCCACAGTCGCCCATGTTGATTGCTCGGTCTCCAGCTGGTGATGTTATTTTGGTAAGCGGTGGGAAATTGAGGAACTGATGCCTGCCTGGAGGAAGCAGGTCACTAGGGGCAAGCCCTTCCTGGCGTCCCGTCCCAGACCCCTCCACGTTTGTTTATTTCTCCTTCCGATACGCCGTGAAGCGAACAGCCTCCTCCCCATGTGCTTGCCATCATGGTGGAACCAAATAACGGCCCTAAAACCATGACTCAAAATAAATCCTTTCTTCCTCAAGTGGTTTCCTCAGGAATTTTGGTCACCACTATAGAAATCTAACTGAGAAAACTGGTATCAGAGAAACGGGGTCATTGCTGTGACCATATAATTGTGTATTAATTGTTGTTGGGCCTCTGGAACTGGCATATGGAAGGGGGTGGAAAGGATTAGAAAATTGAGCTGGAAAAACCGAAGACACTGTAGCTAGAACTTAACGGACAATGGTAGCGGGAGCATGGAGGACCAGTATGCTGGTAGAAATGTGGATAGTAAAAACTGCACTCGTGGTTCAGGTGGAAATGGAGACTCAGAGAAAGCAGACTAGCGGGCATTCCTGTTGTATCTTTGTCAGCAGTCTATTCATTGTTTGTCCATGTCCTCAGACTTTGTGTGAAGTGGTAAGTTATATATGTATATCTCCCCTGGTAGTGGGTAACTCTGCTGATGCAATAAACCAATCAAGCCGAATTAATACGTCTAGGTTTAATTATCAGAGCAAAGCAACTCCCAGGTGACTCTTGGAAAGGTAGGAGAGAAAAATCACATGGAAGGTCTGATGACCAGGTCTTAGATACCCTGTAGGCGTGGTCTTGGGCAGCCCCAGGGGAGGGGCTGACCCTTGGCCAGCTTTCTGAAGGGTGGGGTCTGGAATGGGAGGACTGAGACGGCAACGGAGATTCCCAACATGAAGATGAATACATAAGTAATGGACTAATTAATTGGAAAGGAAATTTTAAGATAGGAGAGCATTCTGGCTGATTTTAGACAGGTTGGCGATGAGAACTGGAAACATGAAGCAGATTAGAAAGCTTAGGAAAACACACACTTTGACCAGAAAAGGAATGTGTTTTAAATTGTGTTCAAAGAAGGATATTGACACTATTTTATAAAATGTTGTTTACTTTACTTTGCATTGGGACAATAGGAAAGGGGTTTCAAGGGCATCTCAGGAATTAGCTGGGTCCCACTGAGTGATGAAGGGGGTAAAGGTTTAGAAGCCTCTGCCAGAGAAAAGAGCTCCAGGGCACCCTACACCATGGATCTACAAAGGGAACTATTTTCCTGGGCTCACCCACCCAGGCACTTTGAGACTAAGGCATCCATGGACCAAAGGACTCTACTTACAGACAGTGGCAATGCTAATATACCTAAACTTTTATCTCTTTTTGTAAATTAAGAAAATTCATGTAAGCTTCAGGGAGTCGAGGGAGTCATAAGACTTGGGTCTACCTCTCATAGGTCAAATGGACTCCAAGTAAGTACTCCTGTCAATCAACAGCCTAAATCCCTACCTGCCTATTCCTGAGGTTGGGCTCTCTCTCTCTCTCTCTCTCTCTCTCTCTCTCTCTCTCTCTCTCTCTCCCTCCCTCCCTCCCTCCCTCCCTCCCTCCCCCTTAGTCTTGGGACTCCTCCCTTCCCTGAGTACCATGGGTCTGAAAGTTCTAAACATAAGATTTCCTTTAAGACCCTAAACTTTAACTTCTGTCCCTAGTCTGTATCTGTCCCAGATTTCCGCTTGACTGATAGACACCATCCAGGAATCAGCCACAGACTGTGATCTACACCAGGTCCAGGTAGACCCACAGAACTGGAAAGCCCTGAACTTGCTGAACGCCAATGTGAAACAGTTCAGCCAGTGTGAGTCTCTGTCTCTTCAACTAGGTCAGAGAACCAAATGCTTCAGATGAATGCTTCATTTCCTAAATCCCCTCCTGGACTTTGGACCAGCACTCTGGCCTTCATGAGCCCTAACAACAACATCCTAGTTTCATCAGGAAGTAGTTACAGAAGAGATTACATCACCCCTTATCCTCAACAAAGGCTGAAATGTTAGGTCCAAAGGAAACTCCCTGACAAAGAGGACAAAATGGTACCTACAGTGCCTATTGATGTATCCAAAGGCAAGGATTTGACTCAGAATACAACTCAAGGGGGAATGTGAGGGCTAAAGTTTTGATTTAAGTTTAAATCACTGTGCTGAAGAGATCTATAAAACAAAAATGCTTCTAACTTGTAAGCTCCACTTGCCTACGGAAAGGTATGTTCCTGGAATGCTGAAAGACTGTGAGTATAACACAGCAAACTCTGTATTTTTGCTTCTATAAACAGTCATGTTTGCCTTCTTAGTTAATTTCCAAGTGGAAATCTTAGTTAGACCATGTGAACACCTTTAATCAAGATGGTGATGAAGTCACAAGGCCCTGATCCTCTCTACCCTTAGTAAAGATAGCTGCCGGTCAAGTGTTTGCCTCCATTCTGATGGGAGCCATCAGCTAAGATGGTGGTAAGCCACATATTGCTTACATCCCAAGATGGTGCCACGCCATATCATGGTTCTTTTAAGATTACCTGTGTATAGATTTTCAACTATCAACCCTCTAAGTTACAAGTTCTAAGTTAACTTCTTTGTTAGAGTTTTTTGTTTGTTTGTTGTTTTTTTCAAGACAGAGTTTCTCTGTGTAGTTTTGGAACCTGTTCTGGAACTCACTCTGTAGACCGGGCTAGCCTTGAACTCATAGAGATCTGCCTGCCTCTGCCTCCCAAGTGCTAGGAATAAAGGCATGTGCCACCACCTCCCAGTTAGTTGTAGATTTTTTTTCTGGAGCTGAGGACTGAACCCAGGGCCTTGTACTTGCTAGGCAAGTGCTCTACCACTGAACTAAATCCCCAACCCCAGTTGTAGATTTTTTTAGCTATACCTAATAAACTTACAAATCTTAATGTACAGAAAGTTCACACAATAGTCATACAAATCTTGAGATAAGGTTTATATCTTAGCAAAAGTTTTAGGCAGTTAATTGAAACCAATATTCTAATTTTTAATCTGTTTTGCTTTGCTATCTTTTCTGTCACAAAATCAGGGGGAATCACCCAACATGGGACAGAGAGGAAACTTTAAATTAGCATGCTTGAGCCTAGAGAAGGCAGAACCATAACCTAATTCCAGAGCCAGTTTTTCAATAAAGTAGAATAGCATAAAATAATTGTAATATTATGTACACCCAAAAGACATCTGAATCCCTGCTAAACTGAATCCAGTGTCTTGAAAGCTCAGAGATAAGTAATTCTGAGCCCTGGCCATCAAAACAGTCAAGTGGCAAGTGGTGGTGGCAGTGGCTGGTGGTGGCAGAGACAGTAAAAGACAATGCTAATAAACACAGAATACAAACAGTACAAGACATGGAGAGAGTAAAAAGGAAACCAATAATGTAGAACGTAGACCATTCGCTCAGTCAGAAGAGACCGGTCAAAAACAGAACATGTGATGTCGCCTTCATTCATACATTGACTGGGCCTGACTGATTCCCAAGCTTGGTGATCTGAGTTGGGGTTTCTGTTTGTTTGTTTTGTTTTTCATTTGTTGTTTTCGTTGTCGTTTTTAGCTTGCTTTCTTAAAAATTCTTCTCTCATATATTAGATCCTGACCACATTTTTACCTCCTCCTCTCCTCCCAGTGCCCACTCAACCTCCTTTCTGTTATTTACCATGCACAAGAATGGACGATAAGATATACAACAAAACCCACTCTAAGAGTTTTATTGGTAGAGAGTGGGAAAAGGGAAACGCGGGGAGTGTACAGGCCTGTCTGGAAGAAACGTGGCAAAGAAAGAGTGTGGGGCAGGCATGTCCGCTTTTAAAGGTAGCTCAGGGCATGCGTATAGAGGCTTACATAGCCGTGCCATGCATGTGTATAGATTATGTGGCCACACTGAACATGTGCATAGATTATGTGTGATGTAAGGCCCTGAGGTGACTAAGCATTTTGCCTGAATGCTGACAGTGCATGTGCGGTCATGGGACTCCAGAAGTGGCTAGGAGGATGCTGGAAATGATAACATC